CCAGCACCAGAATTCAAAAGCATCCATTCTTTGGCGATCAGCCTTCTTTATGGTCCAGCTCTCACTTCCATACATCACTACTGGGAAAACCATGGCTTTAACTATATGGACCTTCTGCTGAGTCGTCTGCTAAGGGCGTCCAAACACAGAGTGCAGAAGTGCTGCAGCTTATGGGAAATGGTATCCCCTTTTTTTCAGATGTCATAAGAAACCTGAGCATTGTGAGGCCCCCATTCTGTGGCTTCTCCCCAGCCAGCCATCCAGCTTCCTGATGGTTGTGGTGCTGGAAGGAGTTACAGTTTGGGCTCCATTGCCCTGAGCTTTTCACAGGACTCCAGCTCCCACAGTGCAGCTTACCTGCAAAGGTAAATTTCAGGATCAAAGTAAATTTGGGGGGATCTCCTGATCTTTTCTTTAAAAAAATAAATAGATGAAATGCAGCCACCGTGGGCCACCAGCTTCTTCATTCTTTCCTTCCGGCACAGAATTGCCCTCCTCCTCAGTATGTTTGCCCTGTAGTTGGAGGAGCAGGAAGCAACACTCTGTCTTCAGCTCTCAGAGGGTATAAATGCTGTTCTTAACAAAACCATAACTTAAAAGCATGGGGCAAACAGTAAGTGTGGAGGAGGGCAAATCAGAAAATCAAGACAGTAGTACCTCGGGTTACAGAGGCTTCAGGATATGCGATTTCGGGTTGCTCACCGCGCCAAACCCAGAAGTACCGGAACGCCTTTCTCTTCTCTGTTTATTCAAAGACCATTTATTTGTGGCCCATTCCGTGCTTGATTCTCCCACCCGCAACCCATTTTATTTTCCTTCTGGTTATTCCTGTGCAGGTCCACCTTATGTAAGGCTGCCTGCTGCATCGGGCATACCCACAAAGGCAGGATTTGCATTAACAAAGAAACCACATGTCCCTGTACATATTCACGGAGATTTCAGGGTCATTTGCCCGTGGAGTTTCATCCTTGACAGACACACTTGGGACCCAAAAGATGCAGTGGGAAATGCCTGAGGCAGGGTTTGGGTCATGCTGCAAGTCCATAATAGATTATAAATCATAATAATTTATTGACTTTAGAAAGACATTTGAAGGCAGCCCTGTTTAGGGAAGTTTTTAATGTTTGAAGTTTTATTCTGTTTAATATTTTGTTGGGAGCCACCCAGAGTGGCTGGGGGAAACCCAGCCAGATGTGTGGGCTATAAAATAAGTTTATTATTAATTAATTAATTAATTAATATTCCAGCCATCTGACTGGGTTTTCCCCAGCCACTCTGGGTGGCTCGCAACAGAATAATAATAATAATAGGTAATAATAAAAACGATAAAGCATCCAACATTAAAAACTTCCCTAAACAGGGCTGCCTTCGCATTATCATTCAAGAAGGGGAAATAAGGCTATCTTTTAGACCATCCATGAAGGTGGACATACAATCATACAATCGTATTTCCCCTGTGTGTTTGCATTTATATTATGGGTGGCCCGAACAGGGATCCTGCACCTTAAAATAGCAGTGTGGAAGAGGGAATTGCATGACAAGCTACCACTCTTCCTCACACCCATTAAAGGTGCAGAGCCCTGTCCTCCTTTGCCTCGGGCCAGCCTAAGATGCTGTGTAGTCTGGCAGGATGCTGACAGTGCAGCACACCAGAGAGAGGGGGGCAGTGGTCTGTGGGGAACTGTACCGGCCGGAGACAAGAGTCAGAGGCAGGAGAAGCTTCAGAGCTGGAGGGAGAGGCAGGCCGGACAAACGGAAGTGTTTCCCCACCCTCTCCTGCACCGCTGTTCCCTAGAACCAGAAGGGGGCTGAAAAGGGATGAGCAGAGGACGTTGCCACACAGGCACAGTCTCTGGCTGCATGCATGCAGCCCATCAGGGGAAGGTACATAAAGTGGTGGAGGGAGAGTGGTTCCCTGTTGCTGCAGCTGATCCACAGAGTGCAGATCTGGGAACAGCTGCCTAGTCGCTAGATTGGTGTGTGTAGGAGTCCAGAGCTGTAGAAGCGACTGTGTTATCTTTGTCAATAAAGAGTTAACAAAGAGTTGCATTGCCTGGAAAGTGCCCTTGACCAGTGATTCCTCGGGCCTGCGTGAGGGTGTAAGTTGCTTTGCCTCTACGTGTGTGGTTCTGTTTAAATCAATTTGCTCTGTGTGCGTATGGGCATGCGTATGGATATCTCTGACCCCCGCAACAGGGCAATAAGCATGCAAATCTCACCTGAAGTTGCAAAAGCTATTTGCTAATAAGAAAGATTATTTGCCAAGTGCAATCGGACTTCGCTCAGAGTAAATACTTCGGAACTTGCCAATCAGAGTTTGTTTGAAGAAGGGTTCCTTGGAATGCTAAATTTGGTTGAGAAATGCTTAGTCAGTTTTTTTTTCTTCATTTGGCTAAGCTATTTCCTGAACTGTGGAAGAAAGATCCTGCTCAAGAATGCTTGAATTGGGTGATGTTTCCTCACATTTAAAACTCTTAACAGGCTCATCCATAATCTTTTAGTATTCCGCTCTGAGTTGTTTATATCACCGGCTTCTGAATCAGAGTGAATCCAGATCAGAACTTGGCTTTGGCTAACTATGAGGAAATATGGGGCACATAGGTAATTATATATAATACACCAACGAAGATCTAAACTGGGGCCAGAGTGGTCTTGTTTCTACTGACCCATTTTGCTTTCTTTACACTTATGCGTAAAAAGCAGCTGATTCTCCCCCCTGCCCAAGCAAGCCTGTTTCCATAGCTGTTGCAGAAGAAGTGAAGCCATTTCCTCCACAGGACAGAAGCCGATGGAGCTAGCAAGGCAGAGTGCTTTGTCCATGCTTGGCCCAGCTCAGTCACTTACCTGGAGGGAATTCCTGGTCGCCAGCAGTGACCAAAAGAGTGGTTAAAAACAAGGCTCTGTCAGATGCATCATAACTATCTGAATAAAGTTGACCACTGTCTGTTTGTACTTCTGAAATTTATGCCATCACACACGGCTGTGAGTTTGTTCTTCCAGAAGGATAGACTATAGAAGTTGACTTTGTAGTTCTGGCTCCTAGAGACCATAAGGACATGCCTTCTTTTCCTCCAAACTCCAGCCATTGCTTCTGTGATCCTAAATTGTATGGAGGAAGACATACTACTACTATTTTGTTGGCCTCTTCTGCAATTCTCCTTCATTCGTTCGTTCCTTTCTCTCGTTCTCTGTATAAAGACTTGAGGGATGAGATTATCACCCCTCTTTTATTGTCCATTCCGGGTCGCCCAACCACTGCCACAGTGTCCTTTCTCTTGGCAGATCAAGAGGAGCAGGTGACAGCAAAGGTTGCAAGGTTTTTAGCTGGGGCAATCAGAATAAGGTCCACTATTTGACTATGGATTCAAAACCCTAAAAAGTATTTTATATAATTGATTTTTTCTATTCTTTGTATATCGTATTGTTGTTTTATTGCTATAGCCGATGGCTGACGCAAATAAAGATTCATTTATTCATTCTTCCCCTGAAGAACTTAATACAAAACGAAGAATTGACCTGTGCCACAAACTAGATTTAATGCACACTCATATCAGAGTGCGCTGTAAAGTGATACCTATAGTCTTTTATATACTAAACTTTTATGCTCTTCCACATCCGTTTAATGCTCCTAACCCTTCTTTTAGATTCTTTTAGTGTTTTTTATATACCTTCTGTTTTAATACTTTTTAGCTTTCCCAAAATGACTGTACCCCACCCTACTCATGCTGGTCTATGACCGTAGTAAAGATTTGATTGGTTGAAAACGAAGAATGGAAATTGCTCCGTCGCCATTGGCACAGCAGATCCAGAACATGTTTTTCTGCCTCCGCAGAGCTCCCTATTTTAACAGTGCAATTCCCTCAGATCTCGCATCTCACGAAATGGGTGGGAAATGCAGTGCGGTTAAAATGTCCCTCCCCAATTGTGTTCCACAGTTGCCCATGATGCTTCGCATTGGATGCGGTGGCCTTGTGCTTGCGTGCAACGCAATCATGTGGACTTTCTTTGCCAAAGCCTTGAGGTACTCCTCCTCCTCGGCTACAGCAACTTTGACCTCAACAGCGTCTAACTTCATCTCTTCCGTAAGTACAAGTTACGCCTTAGGGACAGCCAGTGTGATTGGTCAAAGCATGTCCTGATTGCGTTTAAAAAATAATTATTATTGTTTTTATTAAAGATTTTCTTGAATTACAAAGTACATTTGCGTGATACTTTTGGAAGACCAGTTTTTGAGTGAGATGATGAATCGGCAGGAAATTCCTATACAGTGGTACCTCGGGTTACATACGCTTCAGGTTACATACACTTCAGGTTACAGACTCCGCTAACCCAGAAATAGTGCTTCAGGTTAAGAACTTTCTTCAGGATAAGAACAGAAATTGGGCTCTGCCGGCGCAGCGGCAGCAGGAGGCCCCATTAGCTAAAGTGGTGCTTCAGGTTAAGAACAGACCTCTGGAATTAATTAGGTATGTAACCCGAGGTACCACTGTACCCCTTTTCTGTTCTTGGGTACTCACTTCCCTACTTTTGTAACATAAATCAGGCTAGGAGAAAGAGCCACGCAATGAAATTTAGGAATTGAACCCCAGTGGTATTTTTTAGTGGTGTTCCTTACTTTTAAAAAAAATGCCTCTGAGCACTTACATGAATCCAGGTTGGCAACTTCGCTCAGTGCCACCTTTCAGAGTTGCTTTTAACCGAACCTCTGATAATTCAGTCCTAATTTAATAGTGCCTTCTTGTAAAGTCCTTGGTTCAAGAACTTGCTTAGTAGAACCCCTTTAATAGGTGCTTGCGAGGTGTGTGAGATGAGCAAGGCACTCTAGCTGAGGGATTCTTTAAGAAGAAGCTTATTTGTTCCTAAGAAGGAAAATGAAACGTCCAAATGCAAATGCAACGTAAAATTTTGGGATTAAAATGCCTATTTTTCTCCCGATTTCAACGTACAGTGATACCTTGGTTCTCAAACACCTTGCTTCCAAACAACTTGGAACCCAGACACTGCAAACCTGAAGTAAGTGTTCCAGTTTGCGAACATTTTTCAGAAGCCAAACGTGTTACACTTCCGATTTAAATGCCACGCTTCTGTTATGAGTGTTACTCTGAGGTCAGTCTGTTTGAGCATTTATTTTGCTTTTTTGTGGTTCTTTTTGTGACTGTGTAGAACCCAGTTCAGGTACTGATTGATTGATTGATTGATTGATTGTGTGACCTGCAGTACATTGTTTATTGCTTTCATTTTATGGATCAATGGTCTCGTAGTAAAATTCATGTTAAATTGCTTTTTAAGGGTTATTTTTAAAAGTATGGAATGGATTGATCCATTTTGCATTACTTTCTACGGGAAAGCCGCCTTGGTTTTGGAACGGACTTCCGGAATGGATTAAGTTTGAGACCCAAGGTACCACTGTATTCAGCTGCCCAGACCCCAGGGATGGGGAACATCCAGCCGATGGGCCAAGTTTGTTGTTATTATTAATATGTCTGTCTGCTGCTCTTCCTTCCGAAGGAGTCCAGGGCGGAAGTTGCTTGAGCGGAAGTCTTCTTCCCTTTTCTTTTCAGGCTTTTCTTGGCAAGTTGCTCTTTGGAGAGACTCATGCCCTGTTGTGGTGGATAGGAATATCCTTAACCCTTCTCGGGCTTTTGCTGCTCCACACGGCACCACCCTTGGCAGAAGAAAAGAAGGAAAAGAAGAGATGAAAACTCGCCTGTGGGTTAAAACAACAGCCACCTGGGCCTTCCGGCTTGCTTTAGCTAGCCTGTTACCTCTCACTTTCCTTCACGGAGATGGATTTTCAGCCGATATCGTCGTCGTACTGCAAAGACTACGGCATGGGTAGGCAACCTAAGGCCCGGGGGCCGGATGCGGCCCAATCACCTTCTAAATCCGGCCTGTGGACGATCCAGGAATCAGCATATTTTTACATGAGTAGAATGTGTCCTTTTATTTAAAATGCATCTCTGGGTTATTTGTGGGTCATAGGAACTCGTTCATATTTCCCCAAAAAAATATAGTCCGGCCCCCCACAAGGTCTGTGGGACAGTGAACTGGCGCCCTGCTGAAAAGGTTTGCTGACCCCTGGACTACGGTGACAAGGTGACAGTGCAACGTAGCATGAAGGAGAAGGGCCTTTGAGGAGAGACATGGCATCTCCCTGGCCTCTGAGGTAACACTTCAGGGCATTTGGTAAATGACAGTAACCACCGAGCTAGATGTCAAATGTGGCCCAGAGCTACCAGGACTTCTTGCAGCAAATGTTCTTTCACAGTTTCTAAAGGTGATGCCATTGGTCCCTTTGGCTAGGCTGACAAGTCAATGCATGTGTCTAGACCAACATGCGTGTTGAGCACTGACATGTATTCATACATGCACTACCCACAGGCTTAGGCTCTTCGGCTAGCAGTGCCATTTTTCTAGAAAAAGAGGTGCCGGAGCTCACCACGAACACCTCCTTTGTTCTCTTAGAATGGCAATGGCGCCACCTGAGAGGTGCCAGAACTGAGTTCCAGCTGAAGAAAAGCCCTGACTGTTAGCATTATAACATGTGTTTGTTACAAATGTGGGTTTACTTGTAATCTTAAGCCCACGAAAAGTTCTCACACAGAAGAAATTAAGCAGGCATGCCCAAAGTCTTTTTTAGGGGCCTAATCCAGCCCGCCATTCGGTTCAATCTGGCTCCTGTGGCAGTTTATTTCCTGGGGTAAACTCTAAAAAAAGCTGAATAACTTCAATCCAAAAAAAAAAAGGTCAACTTTGGTCAGCCCTCATGCATGTTCACTTCATCAAATCTGGCCCTCTTTGAAAAACGTTTGGGCACCTCTGAAATAAAGGAAGACTGGTTTATTACATGAAATGAAAGTGACAGAATATCCGAACGCTGCTTCAGACAGCAAAATTACAATTTAAGCAAACAGCATATCCTGTACACCTTGATCTAAAGAGCGAGGGGATCCCTCACTATTCCCAGAAGCCGACAGAAAGTGAGGGCACGATTTTGCCACAGAAGCCGCACTAGCGGGAATCGAAGGGCTTTTTTCAGCCAGAACTTGTCAGAACTCAATTCTGGCCCAAGAGAACAAGGGAGGTGTTCGTGGTGAGTTCCAGCACCTCTTTTTCTAGAAAAATAGCACCGAAGAAGGGTATATGTGATCTGTAGTGAAGCACACAATCTGGCTGGTCCTTGTGAAAAATGGTCAGTGTTGGAGCTTTAAGAGCTAACCAGCCATTGAAAATCCAGGGTTGAAATACTGTTCTGAACCAGTGCATTCTAATGGCAAAGGAAGTGGGGCTTTTAGATGAGCAATTCTTATAATTTCAATATTTCTATCGTTCTGTTGTCTCCTCCTAGAGTGTACTGCCTGTTTCCCGTTTTGTTTATTCTGCTTAATTAAAAGTTGAAAGAATATAATCCTGGTGAGCTAAATGACTAAACTGGTTATCCTTGTTTGTTTACTGTCTTAAACTTATCTTGCTATTTATCTAGGTGGGAACCATTCTTTTACAGGAGGTGTTGATTAAATTTGGCTAGTAACTAGATTGCATGTGCTGATCTTGACGCACAGGTGTTAGGAGCTCAAAATGTCTCCTTGATGCCTTCCAGGACAGGTTTGAGATAAGACTGGCACCGGGTTCAAGAAAAGTTCATAATGGGGATCTTTACTCATATTAAGTTATGCCAGCCTTTACTCATGTTGTGATCTACACTAATAAACAATAGAAAAAGTTCAGATGGACACACACCTATTCACACTAATTCTACATTTGCTTGCCTCTCCCACTTCACAGATTGTGTGTGTATTTTACACCTAGTCTTTCTTTTATCTGTTCCAGTTTAACTGCACGTAATAGACTTTAAATGACAGAGCCAAACTTGAAAACACATGGATTGATGTTTCTGGGAACATTGCTTGGTATAATCCCGTAGCAATTGTTAGCCCACCTTTTCTGTCTTCTTGGCACCTAACCTTCACTTGTTCAAATGTAATCATACCCTGATAAGGCTGAATTTGAACCCAAATTCAGCCAGAGTCACTGAGCTAACCACCAACCATGATGCCCATTTGCCCATCTGTGAAATGGAAAGAGTATGTGACCTCCTTAGGGTTTGTGGTAGACCAGGTATGGGGAACATGGTCTTCATTTCATGCAAGTGGTGAAGAATAAATGCAACAAGGAAGTGTGGTTTAGGCCAGAATCTTAAGGAATCTAAAAGGAAAGCACAGGTATCTCAAAGCAAAAAGATCTCAAAGCACAAGGATCTCAAAAGCACCTAATTTTCTGTGACACCACTGTTTGCCTGTTCATAAGACTTTCTTGTTTCTGTTCTGTTCTTCCACTACATCAGGGTCTGTTGCACCTTTCTCAGAAAAAAAATAATAATTACCCAGCGCACCCCTGGAAATCTATCATCTGTAAGCGAACAATGCAGTGACAAATTGGCGTTCTTTTTATGTATCTATATTTCTACCTATATCCTACAACATAGGAAAGAAAGATGCTGTCGACGGACTTGACCTCTGATCGGCTATAACTTGCATTTTGTGTTTTTGTTTGGAAAATAAAGTAATCACTGCAACTTCAATTCTCCGTTACATTGGTAAGCGTCATTACACAACAGGTGAAACGTTGTGAATTTTCAAAAAATTCTTTCTTTATGCTTCTACACACACCCCTTATTTTTATTCAACGCCCCCCAATTGCACCCAAGGCTACTACCACCACCACCACCCCCCGGATCATTCCAGAGTCCCCCAGGGGGCGGTGTCGGCCACTTTGGGAAACACTGGTTTACAGAAAAGGAAAATACAAAAATAATTGTGGCTCACTCGAGGAAGGAGCAGCTGGTCTGATCTGTGATGTGCTTTAAGTCCCATCACTGTAGATCACCAACAGGTTGGTATCAAAAGTACCAATTCACCAGGTAGCACAAGAGGCCAGTAACTTAACTCTGCTGCTTGGCCCCTCAGGTTGACCAAATTGTAGCTAAAAAAACAGGTAAAGGACCCCTGGACAGTTAAGTCCAGTCAAAAGGCAACTATGGGGTTGCGGTGCTCATCCCACTTTCAGGCCAAGGGAGATGGTGTTTGTCCACAGTTTTCTGGGTCATGTGGCCAGTATGACTAAATTGCTACTGGCGCAATGGAACACCATAATGGAAACCAGAGCGCATGGAAACTCTGTTTACCTTCCCGCTGCAGCGGTACCTATTTATCTACTTGCACTGGTGTGCTTTCGAACTGCTAGGTTGGCAGGAGCTGGGACCGAGCAACGGGAGCTCACTCTGTTGGGGGATTCGAACTGCCAGCCTTCTGATTGGCAAGCCCAAGAGGCTCAGTGGTTTAGACCACAGCGCCACCCAGACCACCACATCAGTCTTTCCTGCTAACTAGCTTGACAGCCTGGCACCCTGACTTGTTCCCAATTGAGCTATGGCCTGTTTACTACTTGTCTTCTTTCTCTCTTCTTTCTATCTCTGCTTGCAAATTGATCAAAAAGTAAATTCCGCTGAAACGGTGGAGTTTCCTTTCAAATAAATGTGTTTAGGAGTGAGCTGTGAATGTAAGAATATAAGAAAGGTTAAGTAACACAGTTGCTTCAGTGATTTTGGAGAAGAGACTGTTGCTCTTATCACTCCAATCGAGCCATTTGCAGATTGGCAGCCCATCCGTTATTTGACATTTTAAATACGTTTGGGCAATCTCAGCAAATTGGAACATCGTTTTTCAACCAAGTTCCTTTCTGTGCCAGTCCCACAGCTAGAAGCCTTACCAGCAAGAGCTCCCGGGCTTGTCGCAGTTGGCAAGACTCCTCCATCTCTGACAAAAGCTTAAAGGTGACCTACAAAAAGCAAAGTAGGGAATTGGACTTGTGCCATTTGTCACCTTCCTTGGGTGACAAAGAGACCTCCTTTTCAGTTCCTGATTCTCTCACAAAGCTATTCAGGCTTTTGCTTGTCTTGGAAGAATATAGATGATGAAAGAATTGTTGGCAAGATTTTGACAGCATGGAGAGAGAGAGAGAGAAATGAAGAGACACATATTTTTATTTGGCCTGCTAACTCTGTGGGAAGAAAAACACAAATGTATTGTTTGAAAATACAACGCTGCTTCTGGTTTTTTGTTTTCTAAAACATCATGGGGGAATAATTAATGTATTAGTTTGAAGACTTTTCCATTACAGGAGAGAGCAGAATACATTAACAAACATCACATTGTACCCATTACAAGTGTAGCCATCAAATATTCTCTCTTCAAAGTCACTAGATATCAAATTTGTTGAAAGTGGAACAGGTTGTGCATGAAAAATCACACAGGAGAGAGTTTTAACAGGGTATCGTTGTTTTAGAGTCAGCATATATCGGCCATTAGAACCATTTCTTCCTGAAATATTTCCATAGATATTTTGGCCATTATAAGCAATTCTCATAATGTTGCCAAATCACTGATACTTATATTGTTAAAAGCCTTGGGCATCTATTTGATGGGGAAGTGAAACAGAGATTTGCTGAGATAAATGAATAAAATTTGCTCTTTAGGAACACCAGCACTTTAATGGAAAAGGAGAAGATACTATAAGGCTGCATTTAGCTTGTAAACTGCCCGAAAAATCCATTTTGATAAAGGATAGTATTGACAGTTTATTTGAATCAGTGTTGGCGATCTGTTCAGGGTTTTGTGGCTCGCTGATATTTTCACCGTCC